AAACGTTGACACTGTTATCTATCACTCAGTTGAGTGTATTTATATGATTAATCTCACAATTATCTTTACACGTTCACAGATATCGATGAATGTGATCGTCTTATGCATGACTGTGATTCATATCTGGAGTATTGTATTAACGTTCCTGGTACTTATCAATGCCAATGTATCGTTGGATACGAAGAAACTGACGGTGTTTGTACAGATGTAGACGAGTGTCTTGACGCTAATGATAACACATGTGACGTTCAAGCCGAGTGCTTAAATACAGAAGGGAGTTACATATGTCAATGTCACAACGGATATGTTGGGGATGGTCACTCCTGTACAGGTATGAATAGTTCATAGAAACCATGTAATCGATCAAATGTAAACATTTTACGATTGGTTATGAATTTTATGGAGATTGTTTTTTGTTATCTATTTTATAAATACAGACACAGATGAGTGTGCTACTGGAGAAGATAGTTGTCACCCGAACGCACAGTGCATCAACACCCAAGGATCTTACACATGCCACTGTAACGATGGATTCAGTGGAACCGGAATTGAATGTACAGGTATGTAGTCTGAAAGTAAACACAATTTTGAATGATTTCGTACTCGCAAGAATTGTCGAGATGCTGTATTGAATTGTATTTTGCATAATTGTGTTTTCAGACGTCGACGAATGTGCTGACAATATCCATAACTGTCATTTGAATGCTTACTGTACAAATACACAAGGTTCATATGTATGCACATGTCAAAGTGGTTTTACAGGAAATGGTGTCACGTGTTCTGGTGAGTATGACGTGGTAATGTACCACAGATTTATTGTGTCATCGCGCATGTCACAGCTTGTTTAGCTTTAGGAGCTGTGGCCATATGATGGGCAAAGATATCTGAAAAACTGTTCAGTCACTTTTTCTGAAACTTGGGAAGTATTTTTGTTCATGATATTTGAAAATATGTCTCGTTCTTGAGTATTTTTTCCGTGTAATTCAATAAAGATACAAATCAAGATTGATAACAGGCAGGTTTTTGATTTCCCATGTGTACTATTTGATTGTTTCAGAACAATGTTTGTGGATTGAAACCCCTTTCCTAATTATTTCTTGTAAACTTTGTTTAAAATCAACGTGCCATAAACAAATGAAATACATTTTCTAACATCATGCGTTCCTTGAAGTTAGAATAAAATTTAAAATTCTATTTGCATTATTAAAATAATTATGTCAGTTTCGTTCAATGTTTTGTGTTGGCAAAATTATTACTTATTACATGTGCTATATACACAGTATCATTAAAACATCTTTTTTTTTTGGCGAGTCAAAAAAAACACAATATTAATGACTAATTAAAATAACAATTCACGCGGCTTAATTTAATTGATTAATTAATTAATTCCAAGTTTATTGTTGCATAGACATCAACGAGTGCTCGTTTCGTGAAATACCTGAGTGTAACAAGGAATTGGGTACATGTATAAATACAGTTGGTAGCTACGGATGTAAGTGTAAAACAGGGTACGAAGGAGATGGAATCAACTGCACAGGTAAATACTATAAGTAACTTGAATGAAATGTATGACAGGTTTGTATACTCACAGAGCCATAATTGATACACATAGTGATATACATAGATGATCACATGACCGTGTTCATATTTGGTCATGGCTGCTACCACTCTAAAGTACTCACCATCAGATCAACATTATATATTATATGTGATTATTTCAAAACCATGTTCATATTTGATACAGTGAAGGGCACAAAGTTGAGGCTTTACTTATAATGTATTTATTTGGTCAATTTAAATTCTAACATCCATTTATAGAAACCAATATTTATACAATCCCAGCTTTCTGCAATTCACTGTAGATGGCCTCAGGTAAACCGGGAATTACTGCTTTCTCATACTTTATCATACTTTCTAGACTATTGAAATTGAAAGTTAACGTATAGACATAGACATTTTATGTAAAATTGTTGGACCAGAACAACTGCTCTTGAATATATAAATCAGAAACACGTCATTCATACCAGTGTTTTGATGGGGTCG